CTACAACAGGCCAACTGAAAAAACGAAACGCAAAAATTAAACCACTTCACAGCACGTTTGGGAAAGTGTGCTTATATCTTCGCTTCTCTCTTGCGAATTCAACTATTACTACACCATATTGTCACGAATGACAAATGAATAAATAAACAGGAAGAAATGAACGTTTAATGGAGGCGAACTTGTGCCAAAAATAGGAGGGTACAAAAGATATTAGCAGAGCGTCGCGGGCGTCGAAGTCGGCGTAGCAGCAGAGTCGAACGCTGGGGCGAAACTCAGTCCGGTTCGCCACGCGGCGCCCCTCATGTACATGCGTGAGCTTCTGGAATAACCGGCGTAGAATGTTCGATGCGTAGAACATTCGGACTTCGAATACGCCAAATTATTCTCGAATCTACCAGAAAACAAAATTGGAAAAATAACAAAAGATGCGGCGCTCCCAGGAATCGAACCCCGGCTTTTCGCGTGGGAGGCAGGCGCGATAACCATTAGGCCACGCGCGCGCTGCCTACTTGGCCAGCTACGCGCGTGGCAATACGATGTTGATATATTTTCAGCATCTAGATGATATCATATGCTCAATGTTAATAAGCATTTCCTGTACGGTTTTCTATTATTCACACAAACAATCAAGGTAGACAGCGCGACAGATGCGTCAGTAGATCGCGTTATAATTACAATTTATTATTTTTCAGTACCATATTGGGGCAAGGCACAAACACGACGTAAGTTTTTTACAACCGAACATTCAAAAGACAAAGAATGAGGTAAGTCTCTGCTTGTTTGTGCGCGTATTTAAATGTTAAGCAATTTAGTGGATGCAAGGACCAAAAAAGCTCAGGTGCCTATTTATATATACTATATATGTTTTCATCTCAGTTTGATAACAGTTTTGGAGTACATTTTACTGATTATATATATATATATATATATATATATATATATATATATATATATATATACAAAGTATATGTATTAAATTTTCATTCAATAAAATGAACCAAGTTTAACTTTACGTTGAGGTTAAGGTCACTAACACACCCTGAATGGGCCACACTTTAAAGTTTTCCGGTGACTTTTATATATATATATATATGCTACCTAAAACTAAGCTTAAAACTGCGCAACCAGAGAAACAAATTTTTGAACGAAAAAGTGTATATTGACCGTAAACGATTCATAAATACAAGAAGTATCAGAACGAATTAAGACTATAGATTTTAGACAACTGGAAAGAGAATGGACATATAACGATTTAGTAAACACTTTTAAAGGAGAGTCAGATAACTTCAAAATCAAACAAGAAGGAAAAAGGAGAAGGAAACACACACCGAAAAGCCGGTAGGTCTGTGAAGTTAAAGCGGCCATAGCAGGGCGACAAGGGGCCTCAAGGGAACACAGATGGATGAAGGAAAGGGGGGACTCCCCCGCTGAGGTAGCATGGAAGTGGAATACCTTTCAGAAAAGAAAAGGAGAGGCATCTGCTCTAATCCAGGCCAAGATTAATAGAGGTGGAGTGCAGTGTATGGTGGAAGTAGATCAAAATGATAGGAATGGAGCAAAAAGGTTCTGAGAGCACATTAATGCGCAGGGAAGAAAAACAAGGGTTTCAGTACTCTTTGACCACACAAGAGGAAAAATGTTGAGGACGAGGAGGCAAGGGAATTTATTAGACGGACAGTCGAGGCAACATTCGCAGAGCTTCAACCGAACAAAATTGGAAAGAGCACAAACAGCAACACTGCACATGACGAGAGCGCTAGCGAGACAACTGAGACGACCACGAGAAATTGGCACAGAGCAGAAAGTAAGGTACCTGCTGAAATGGCAACAGGCCCAGATAGCATAGGAATGAGACTAGTCAAGACATTAGGAACCAAAAGAAAAATAAAGTTAAGATAGGCAACTGATTAAACAATAAGTGGGGCAGAGGTACGCAATGATCGCGGACTAAGCAGAGTGCGATTGCTCTATAAAGGCAAGGGAAATAAGGATGGGGTGACATCATACTGCCCAATAACTAACTTAGGTCCTGTACAAAGCGGCAATGGATGTAGCAAAAAAAAAAAAAAAAGAATGGGCCAAAAAGATTTTAGGTGAGCTGCAGGACGGGTTCCGAAGAGATAAAAGAGTAGATGATAACTTATTTATCATTACTGAATATATAGAAGTGGCACGGATGAGAAGGAAATCGTCATTGATATTTTCTTTAGACACTAAAGCCGCGTACGAAATGTGAGTCGGGAAAAACTCTGGGTACAGTTGAGAGAGTATGATTTAGATGGACAATTGATTAGGCTTTTACAACACGTAAACACAAATAAGATTGTTATAACTTTGGAAGCAGAAATAACAGAACCGGCTGAAATAAAAGGAGGAATCAGGCAGGGTTTTCCCCTATCACCTCTACTTTTATAATATACCTGAGTAGAATGGAAAAGGTATTAGAAGAGTGCAATTTAGATTTTAATATGTCATATATGTTGAAAGGGGAAACAGTAAACCAAGTTATACGAGGAATGTTCTACGCACACGTTGTACTGTTAGCAGATATCAGGGATACGTTACAGGACCTGCATAATATCTGTGGAGAGGAAGGACACTCTCTAGGCCTGAAATTAAGTAGCGACAACTCGGGAGTAATGGTTTATGTTGAGGAGAGGGGGACCTTTCGAAAATTTAGGACGTTTTATTGAACACTTGGAGGAGTACAAATATTTAGAAATATGGCTGAATGAGAGAAAACAATACTTAGAAGAACAGGAAGAAAATATGCTAAAAGAACGGGAATAGGACTGCAGGAATTATGAATCATAGGGCACTATGGAGTTACAATAGATATGAGGTTGTTATGGGAATATGAAAAGGAGTCATGGTACCGGGGTAGTGTTTTGGCAATGCGGTGTTTTGCACGAAACCTAGCTGAGGTACAGTCGAGCATAGAGACCCGGCAGTGGAGCTTGGGCAGGCTGGCACTGGGGGCGTATGAGACTACGCCAAATGAAGGAGCGCAGGGAAACATGGGCTGGGAATCTTTCGAGGCTAGACAGGCTATCGGAAAGTTGAAATTTGAATAAAGACTGTACACTATTGAGGATACACCATGAAATGTACATAAGGAACTGTACATGAAGTTTGAACACTATATCAATAAACCGAACCCGAACTCTAAAATTCAAATACCAACAGTCAAGTGTGGGGGCAGAACAGATGGTCACTGCAAAAAATAATGTAAGAAAAGCCGAGAGAGATGTGGGAGCAAAAAATGCAGGAAAAGTCAGCTTTAACTACGTATACGAGACGAAAACAGGAACAAAGAAGAAACATTGGTGTGAGAATTCACGGGGGAACTCGTTGTTATTTGACACTAGAATAGGAGCATTGAGGCCTAGGGGATATAGGACAAAGTATGAGGAAATGAATACGCGGTGAGCCGTATGCCAAGGGGAAGGCGAGACAATAGGACAGGGGGTGTTGAGGTGCACAGGGCTTGCTTCCGCCCTTCCATAGGGGGCGGCGAATTGAGCCGGAGCGCTAGGGTTTGCTGATGAGAGTGGAAGAATGGATGATAAGTGTACTTTAATAACAAAGAGGGGATGAAAAGACTAGTGGAAATTATCTAGGGAGAAATGAATGACGTACAGTTAACTGACACAACTGGGGACAGCCGGGACAAAGGAAAGTTGGGACTCCCTCCCTCGTGGCTCCGGCCCAAACTTTCCACCCTGTCTCCCAGAGGGTCCAGTGCCAGGATAATGCCTACTACGTTTGATCAGAAGAAAAGTGGCGACTTCCTCACCGGTGGAAAGAAAGGGGGGATATCACGAGAAAGATATCTAGTTCAAAGTGGATTGCATTAACACTATGTGAACCTTTCTTTACAAACAGAGAAAATGGTTACAAAACAAAGGCCTGTGCGATTTTTCTTCTAGATATACGGGGTGTTCCTATAAACAAAAATCATATTCATAAAAATAGGGTGGTTCAAAAAAAAATCTCTTTGGGTAAAAAATGCCAGCTACGACAAACGTCAGTAATTATAGAAAAAAATTCCAAATTAGCCAACCAATTACCTAAAACTTACTCATTTACTTTTTATTTAGTTAAAATGAACACATGGTTCCAATTACAAACATGATAAGTGTCGTAGAAAATCACTAAATTAGTCAGTTTTAGTACGACTGGATGCACGTGTGGGAGCGCGGGGGTGCTGTAAAGTTACCGCTCGTGAAGCAGGCGGAAGACCGGCCATAAGAAAATGTAGATGATATTCTTATCCGCGCTTTTGGATCGCTGGCATTCCGTCTGCCACACAAGTGCTAACTTTGGCGGACCCCCGTGATTTGCGCGAGATACAAGTCATGCAATAGTTGACTGATTTAGAGTTTTCGATGACGCTTACCAATTGGAACCAAATATTTATTTTCACGATTTAAAGGTTGGTTAGTAAATGCTATGTAATTAGTTTGCTAATTAGTATTTTTTCATATTTCTGATGTCGACCGTGGCTGATCGTTCATTCCCGCAATTTTTTTTTAAATATCACCCACCCTAAAGTTAGGAAGTATTGAAAATATTCGCTGATCCACAAGGTGTAGTTACACATTTAGTATGAGACATGCGACAGTGCTTGTGAGAATGAAAAGAAAGGATTACTTTATTGCACCCTAAAGAAAAATACACTACCATTTTTAAAACGGTACAAATTTCACTTTACATTCTTACCAAGTATTATAAATAGTGTTTATTTGTCATAATGTAGATGGTCCAATACCACAAAAAGCAGCACAAATTCGGCTTGACAAGTAACCGACCCCATTTTCTTAGAAATCGCAATAGCAGCGATTGCATCACAAACCCAACAAGCAGGCTCATTTTCATAGTAGGTAAAGCATGCGTGTGGAAACAAATCTCTTGTTGTATCAATGCGAAGTTTTTTTACTGATTCAACGTAGTGCTTGAATTATGACACCTGGAATACTGGCAATTTCTAGGACACGACTATGGATGTTGATGAAACTGTCGACGGCAAGACCTGGGCTCATGATTTTGGACAGTTTTCTGAGGAGGTAAGTAATCTGTTTTTGAAATTGTAATAATTGAAACGAGTCGACTGGTAAAACGCTTTAAAAGTTAGGTTTGAAGCTTTAAAGGTTATTTCTCGATAATTTATAAACACTCAGGCGAAGGAAAACAGCACTGTTAGCGGCTTCATCAGCACGCTGTTTGAACATACATGAAACTTTTATGAAGCACAGAGTCAATACTATGATGAGAAGAGTAAAAATTATCCACGCATTTACCATCATAACGATATGATAATGTAGTCAAGAGGTTACACTGTCGCTGGTGTCTATGCGACATTCGGAATGCAAATTGAGCCAGAGAGACCCCAGTGTAATTTTGCGGTGCTCCTGTGCGTTCCTATGGGAAAACGCGTGTGCGTTTTGGCTCTTCGCCGGGAAATAACATAGATCACTTCTGTTACTTCGATCGTACCGAATTACATGCACAATTCTTATCATTGTAAAGGTTTAACTGCTTCAGCTACGGTATTTTCCTCGTCAATAAACGACGTTAAACTTAGCTATATTTAAGATACAAACCTCTGTTCCATAGCTGGCGCGTAAATACGAGCGAAGATTCCAAGCAAAATAACAATCGAAAGGAATGTAAAGTGTTCAAGGTTTGCCTGCAGTCCTGTCACTATATGAAAGTTACCCCACTTTGCAACTTTATTACCGATTTAAAGTATTTTTACGTAAAGTACAAATTACGTGGGCTATGAAAAGTGTTTTTAAATATTATTTATTTCCTATGCTAGACAGACTTTACCGTGCACCTGCTTTCTTGCACATCCCTATTTTCCGATTTCTAGCGCACGGTGCTGGTTTGAAAACAGAAGGATTCTTTCTGCACAAACAGAGATACCAAAGCCATACTTATTTATTGCAAATCGAACAGTGCTAACTTGGCCTTTACTTCATTTTTATCGTCTACATGCACAGGAAGCTACTGCTCCAATTTTACTGCGTAGTTATCGCCATCTCGCTAGGTTTTTCAGATGTCCTTTGTTCATTTGGCACGTAAATTTCCCATGTTGAAAAGCGCCGACGCCGTGTTCGCACAACAATGTCCGATAGTGAACATAAATGCATGCATGAAGCTGTATTAGCGCTTTATTTTATGCTATAAATTTGAAAGAAACACACTAACTGACCAATACCTTTAGTTGCATGATTTAGAAATGTTTCCAACTATTTGCTACCGTACAAATGTTTGTAAAAATTTCTCCTAAAATAAAGTTTAAAAAAAACGCTCCCGCTTTTCTCTGTAGAAATGCATTACCGGTAGCCTATCGCGGGAAATCAATTTTTGTCTGTTTGCTGCCTGCTTCAATTTGCAAAAGCACACACGCGTCAGCTGAACTCTAGCGTACAAAATAGTAGCTCTATGCTTACTATAACACATCTTTAGGCTTTCCACACTGCATTCTGTGCATGAGTTGATACTACTGTGGTCACGCTATTGTAGTTTAACCTTGATAGCGTAATTTGTCTTGTTTCTGTTTCACTGTAATAAAACATGCCCGCTCTGCTAGTAGCGTGCACTGAAGAAAAACAAAAGAGCAATGATTCAATTTTTTTGGTTGGAAGGTGTATCAGGGGTAGAAATTTATCGGAGGCTTTTCATACAATACGGGGAAATTGCTGTGCAACATAAAAGTCTTTATGAGTGTATCTAGACGTTTAGAAGTATCCATACAATCTGCATGTACGAAGGGGGAGCAGGACGTCCACCGGTGCGGGAACCGCGTAAAAGGTTGGGCGACCAACCGACACATTCGTCTTGGAGGGAGTACCCAAGGTAGTGGCGCTAGACAAAGTGCATCGAAAAGGAAGGAGACAGTTTGGAAAAATGATGTTCTTGTTAAATGCCTACGTTTCTATAATTTAGTATAAAATGTAAAGTGCGGATTATTGTTTACTTGCCCTCACATTTACCATTCACCGCAAGGTTTTCTGGAAGGTTTGGTCTGAGAAAATCTAAATTAATTATTAAATTCCACTTAACATTTTTGAGCTAACTATGATTAAAAGTAACACATGCATATAAAATAAACTAAACTGGTATTTGAGTGAACACATTACTGTCCCATTTTACCTGAAGAGGTCACGCGCACGATTAAAGTAGCGATCGCTGATGCTGCGCATTTTATTACAAAATAAATAAAATAATTTTATAATCCATAAGTTCAGTGGTGTGCACAATGGTATAATCTTAGGACCAGAATTTAGAGACCGACTTCAATTTGTGCAGTCTTCTATCCTCGCTCGTTGCTGTTCCTGATATATAGAAGTTTGCCTACGCAAACTTGAGATCAAATGTCGCAAGATTGCGTAGGTCAGGAAAAGTATTGATGAAAAGGGATGCGTCGCTGATATGTGTATGCATCAATGTTGTAATGAAACTTTGATGCACAACATAAACTTTGAACAAATTATACTAACTCAGTTATTGTCAGCGAAAATATTTATTTTATTTTATTTTCAAAAATACGTTTTGATATTGGTATTCCAAAGCAAAACGAAACTTTTAAAATATTTTTGTACCTTTGCCGTTTGTTACAGCAGTCTAGATTGTCGTCGGAGCACTTACCAGTTTTTGAGGCTGCTGCTGAAAGCAATTTAACCAGTCGATGCAGTCCACCTATTGCGCAAGTGTCCAAACGCCCCCTGTGTAAAAACAACGCCCTCGAAAGCAAGCTAAAGGTAGGTAGTACCACCAAAACCGGCTGCCAAAAGTTTCATTTGTCGAAGTAGCAAATAAACCCTTCCGTTGCCTGCACTGGAAATGTATAGCTATAAAATAAATAATTCAAAGTTTAAGAAGTTTAATTTATATGGTAGGAGTGAATTTAGAAACGCATTTTTAATAAATATTTAGGTATTTTTAATTAAGGTCACAGAAATGATTTTCGTTGCTGATATCACTGCAGAGTGAGGGTCTATGTTGTAGTTTGAACGCGGTACGTAAAACGTCAACTATCAATTCTACGTGAAGCTGATCATGAGCTTCTTTTTATGTAATTTCAACATTTAATATGTAACTTTCAGCCGTCCTTAGAGAAAGAAAATATTATAACAAGACATGTTAGGACAATAGAAAGAGGATAAATCCTTGTAACTTGTTTTATTGTTATCCGCTTTGAATGCATAAAAACAAAAAAACTTGTATTTGGCATTAGAATTATTGTTCGTATTTTATGCACAAATACTAAAATCAATTTTAACTTCTGCCAATAAAAAAATGAATTCTCTCTGGGCATTACAAAATATTCACCGTTCCTAATAACGATTGTTTTCTACATGATAAGAGATGTAGCCTCTTACATAACGATCCAGTCTACGAAGTCACGCTGACTCTTTGGATGGCAAATTAACCTGTAGTCTTAGTATATATTGGTATCCACTCATCTAATTGTTGCCATTCTAACATGTCTTGAGATTGGGCATGGGATGTACCACAATAATGTGCACCATAAAGAATGCGGATCAATTTTATTATGATATGCTAAGAGAAGGTTTTGGCATACAGGCAACCAATACACAGAAAATTGTAAGGATTAGAACAAAACGTTGCGAACACTATAATTGGATCTCTGAGTAATGGGAAGTAACCATGTAAATGTCTTTATAGAAGGCACCTCACCTAATCATAGGACTAATCTGGGTCATTTTTCAGATACCTTGCCTCTGACCTATGACTATGATGCAAAAGTATAAAATAATTGAAATCTTTTTGAGAGATTAACTACATGTTTGCGAATGTGTGGATTTTCTTGACGGTTCATCATAATTTTATACATTATTTTCTGGCGGTAAACAAAAGTGCTGAAATTTTATCTGTGTGCAACCTAAGCTTCTTTTTACTTTTGGTTAATGATCATCACCATGTTATTCATAAGTCTATGTTTCGTACCAGGAACACAAGTATGAGTGCCCGAAGATCGAAAGGGAGTGTTTCGACTGCGGTGTCAAAGTTCTCAACGAAAACCTACAAGATAACCTGGACGAGGAGTGCCAGAAGCGAGTAGTTCTTTGTGATGCGTGCCACAGTCTAGTGACTTCCACTCAATTTGGCGTAAGTGCTTGCTTTCTCTCTCGCGCTTTGTTTCTTAAAATATTACCCAGAATGTGTTTTAGACCCCAAGTTTTTAGACTTTTCTAGTTCACTTTTATTCCTTCGTTATGCCGTACACAGGATGTCCAATAATATCAGGAAAAATAAAAAAGATAAAAGCAAGTACTGGTTCAAGATTGCGCGCGAAAAGAACGCCCGATGTCCCGCCCACAATGACGCTTAGGCGGGTAACATACATTTTAGTCCCATCGTCACTACATCCACACTGTGTTGCCGGCGCCTCCACCAAGTACTGGCCTCCGAGATAGTGACAACTCGACTGAGACGACTACATCACTCTTCTAAGCCTCACTATGGAAAGAACTTCAGGCGCTTTTTTCGGGTGCAATTTTTAAATCGTACGAGAAGTCGTGAAAACTAATCTATAAATATCTAAAGAAATCATTGTCTGTTCTCCAATTCTTTTAATTTGTCTAGCATCTAATATTAATGCCCGTGAATACTGCAACTGCAACGTTACCCATAAAACCAATTCAAAATTAATCAACAGAGCTTGGTTAATTAACCAACTTACGGTGACGGTTATTTCATTGCTTAATGTCCACCGAGTCTGGTGATTATTTGGTGAAGACGACCCCCTGGTAACGCATCGTTCTAAGTGCGTTCAAAATCAAATAATGCACTTAGTACGCTCTAATGGTTTGGCACCCATATTTTATTTGGAGAATACCAACAACTTACTGAAAGCACTATTATAGCATGCCGAGCGGTCTTTCTAAACAACAAAGAAGCGAAAATTTAGGTCGTTTATTCTTAATGCTGACATGATCAACACTGAAAACCTGGTACAGTGAACCTACGCGCTCAGGATAAGTTGTGGGCGACATCGTTACTAGGGGTGTGCGTATAGTGATTTTTGGAACCGAATCGAATACGAATCGAATAATCGTGACACCGAATGGAATACGAATACGAACCGCATAATTTTTTAATAGTTTCCGAATGGTAAGTAGACAGCTACTAAAGAAGAGCGAAGAGATTATAAAATTATTTTTATTGTTACAAAATATTTCTTAAAATTATTGTAAAGAGGTTACTAGACAATAATGAGTAGAGTTTAACGATATAGAATTAGATGCAGTCGAACGCTACTAAAATATTAGACTGTGAAACATAATATCACGATTCACCCGATGTTGAACGTAAAATCAGAGTTCAATTGAGCCTGGTACATCCTGAAGCAATGTACTTAGTAGGATCAAGGAAGGTGGCAAGGGGCGTGGTGTGCCAGTGTACTTACGTCCAGGAACCTTGCTTTCACTGATCTCAGAAGATTGTGGGAAAACGTATTGTCTTGTTTCACTTGCGCCCCCAAACCGCACCATTTTCACGCACTGAACAAGTGGAACGACCATGGAAAGTGTTGGGAAAGACTCGACACAAGCAGCTGTTGCGGCTTCTTGAATTGGTTGCATGGGAGCGGCCTAAAAACTTCCATACTCTACTGCGCTTTCTTCTCGAACAACTTCCCTCTTCTGCCACTTCTACTTCGCTGGTACAGAGTGGCAGTACCGTTGCAACCAGTTTTGAAACTTTTCGACGACACGATTTCCGAAAGCGTTAACGAGCATTCTCGTGCGAAAGCGGTCCCTAAAGGCTGAACCGCATGTAAGCGATTTAGCGAAAGACAAGACGAGCGACAGCGACGAGAGTCAGCAGCGAGTGATGGAGATTTCTCACTGTCGCTCGTCGAGTCGCTCGGTGTTTGGATTTCTAGAAAACGTCTTCATGACCTTGGTCGCTTGCTCACACTACTTCGCTGCGGCTTGCCTCATCGCGCGACTGAACGAGCGACAGCGAAGCGGGTCGACGTCGCCTGTCTCGTCTCTTGTCGAATCTCTTTCATGCGGGTTATACTTAACAGTGGTCCCTAATGGAGGCAACAGCAACGTACGTTTAGAGAGAAGCTGCTGCTGCCGATGATGATAATCATTGTCTAGGAGAAGAGGGTACATATAGCCATCTTGCGGGCACGTATGGCAGGCGTACCGGAGCGCTGTGGGACGCCTGTGAAGGGAATCTCGCAGCGCGACACTGTAACGACTATTCAAAAATTATTCGAAAAATATTCAAAACTTTCGAAAATTATTATTCGATTCGATTAACAAATCGAATAGGGTAATATTCGATTCGTTATTCGAAAGTGACGAATATTCGCAAAATCCTAATCGTTAATGAAAAACGCTGTTCAATATTTCAAGATACTGCCAAATTTTAAAGTAGTTTACACTTCGAAGAGTACTGCTGATAAGTACAATGATGCTTTCTCTTTGGTTACTGAGAAGATCAAGAGAAATTGCTCGATAAAATTGCTAAATCTTTTTATAGTTCACTTTATTTTTAAACTTTCCTAGCGAATGTACGCCAGTCACCAAGAAAACTACTGATGCTTAATGAATAAAACAAACAGAAAATACAAGCTATTAGCATGTTGGAACGATTGTTTCTTTCTTTCTAAATATCGTTGGGATAAACTTCACATCTAATCATTACATATCGCTGAAACAAAACACTGTGTTGTTTATGAGTAAAAACAAAATGCACTTGCAACAAATAATTAAGTAACAATGTTCTGGTATGAGATCTATAGACGACTACAGAGTGCGTGATGTAAAATTATTCTAGTGATCCCGAACGGCAACAAATGACGTCACAAAAAAACAAATTTTTATGTTATCGGATGTCGCGACCCTTGCGGTTGGTTCTGGAAGTCACGGCAAAACGTACGAGCGAAGTGAAGTGCCGCTGTCGTCGCGGAGTTCCCACTCCTGGCTGCTAAAACTTCTGTTGCCTGTCAAGCTCGAGAGGAATTTGCAGGCAGTAGAACAGGCTTCTGCCAAATTCATCACCTCTCGGACAGAATCGCGTACGGCGAAAACATGACAATTCTGAAACACACCACTTTTTAGGACGTTTTGAGCAGACCAGTCGAAGACGCGTTCCATATGCACCGTAGTTGTACCCATTGTACTGCTTCAAACACAGTCCTAGTCATGCCGCTTGTTCCAGGAACGCGCTAATGTAAGATAAAGAAAAGGGCTACCCAAGGACAGATACTATCAATATAGTTGAAATTAAAATTAATGTAAATTTATATATTTCTTGGTTTTATTTAATAAGGTACACCCCTTTTTAAACTCTATACTGATTCTAAAACAACACACGAGGGCCATTTAAACCTCTAGCGTGCATTATAATAACTCTATGATTTGAAGCACTGACATACAGAAAACCAGGCTATTAGAGCACAAAATGGCTGGGTGGTTACATTTGAGGTCAGACAGTGGAGTACATTTAAAATTGTTGTTTATCTTTACTATTGGTTTTGTGTTTCGGCATGTACCAAAATAAAAACAAGGCTTAATATCAGAACTTTGAGAGATTTCGTTTTAAAGTGAATTTCTAAAGCAGCAGGAAATCTGACGGAATTGTGATGATTTTCGTTTGTAACATTTTAGGTTCGCGCTTGAGTAATAATATCATGTTTCTCGATAGTTCACTTTTAATTCTCGCACCTACTTCTAGTGAAAACGAGCACCAATATTTTCTCACGGAGGATTGATGCAATATTGAGAAATTATAGTCTAATACAGTTAGGCAAGGGGTCGTTCTCCAAAAGCACGCCCTGTTGATATAGGAAGATTTCAACGCATTGCAACATATTTTAGACGCCATTAGGTTGTAATAAAAATGCTTGCTGATAGCTTATACGCATATAAACAATTTTCTACTTCCATAAATAATACATTCTTGCTGACTATAATTACAAAATTCTACATTGCATAGCGTTTGCAAAATGAGACTGATATAAGCATGTAGTAATGAAATGTTTCTCCACCTGTATACGTAAAGACAAATCCACCACTGTACTTCTTTTGTACTACTTTTACCTGATCGTTTCCATCTAGAATTACTTGAAACCCCTCACGGGATATAATACAATAGTGTCAGCCACAACGAATGCACTGAAAAAATGTAAAATGCACTGTAAAAATGTATAGTGTCAGCCACAACACATAACAAAATGTTGTGAACCCGCTGTTTGGGGTTTCGAGTAATAAGTCATCGTGTAAATGTCTTTATAAAAGAGAAGTCACCTAATTTTAGGATTCATCAGTGGCATTCATCGGTTGCCGGCCGCCCTCTGGCTCATGACTATAGGGAGAGCAAGTCGTTTGCATCTTGCGCAAGGGTTGCGGTGACGTCAGCACTACGCCCAGTTCTGATTGGCCTTGATTGAAAGGATAGTGGGTAGACTTCAATGCTAGATGCCTCGAGGTCTTCGCACTATTATTTTCAATCAGCCAATAAGAGCTCGACATTCTGACATCACCGCGACCCCTGTGCAAGAACTAGGCGAGCTTACCCTCTGCATTGCACAACACCTCACAACAATCCAAGTTTTCCTTTGTACGATAAACGGCATGTTTAAATATCTGTTGATATCCTTGCGCGTTCATTCTATTTTCATTACAGGTGTTTGTGCGAATATTTTGAGATTTTTATTAAAATAGGGTGGTATGGAAAAGAAAGAAACTATCTGAGGGAACAAACAGTCACCCAGGGCGGACGTCAGGATTATTGCAAAAACCCGCTACTTATTTACCAAAATATTTACATGAAAATTAATTAGCATTAAAATTTGTCAAAATATACACATGTTTCAAATAAATTCATTCATTTAGGAAGATTTGAAGCCGGTTAAAGCGGGGGAGTGCACTGACCTTTCCGCTAGGGCAGCAGGCGGAAGGCTGGGGATGCGAAAACGCAGTAGATCAGATAATAATCCAAGTTTTCGCTTTTCCAGCCTTCCGTTGGCTACAACAATGGTACCTTTAGCATTTTCCCGCGCTTCTCACCTGCTTCAAGTCTTGCTAACAGTAACTTATTTAGGGGGTTTTGACGACGCTCAGCAAGTTCATAATTTAAGCTTTCTTTATTTTTATTAATGAGAACAGTAATAGGTAAATATTACGTAATTATTTGGCTCATTTGTGTGTCTCTTGCAACCTCAATGTCCACCTGTCAGTTTCTTTCTGACTCATTTTTTTTTACCACCCTATTTATAGGGAGTTTTGAAAGTATTAGAAGAAACAGAAGGTATTTTTTGTGGTAAACAAAAGCGCTATGATTATATTTTTGTCTGTTTTCAGTTTGCGACCTACGCTGGTTTTTATTTGTTATTTTTAATTATCATCACCATTGTACGCACAAGTGTATCCCTTTTTTCAGAAACACAAGTCTGAGTGTCCGAAGATCGAAAGGAAGTGTTCCGACTGCGGTGCCAACTTTCTCAATGAAAAAATACAAAATCATCAAGAGGTGGAGTGCCAGAAGCGAGTAGTTCTTTGTGACGCCTGCAAAAGTGCAATGTCTTATGATGAACTCAGCGTAAGTTGTTTTTAAGACGCGGAAAGAGTTGCATTACTTGCTGTCTCTCTTGCGCTGCTGTTTCTTAAAATAATACCCACAGTATCTCTTGAGCCCTGAGTTTTTTAAATTTTTTTTATTTCTCTTTCATTTATGTTTTGACGAAGAAAAGATTCCAATAATACTAAGAAGAAAAGACAAAAAACAAAAACTGGTTCAAAATTGCACCAAAAAAAGAAAAAGCGCCCGATGCTTAGCTTACAATGGCGCTCAGACGAGTGACGTAGTCATGTGTCAGGTTCTTTGTATTTCAACAGTGTGTTGTCTGCCCCTTCTTCAAAGACACGCCACTGAGATAGTGGCCTCGTTCGATTTACCTGCGCCAGCTGCACTTTGAGCAGACCGTCGTATTCAGTTTAAGGGTGCAGCCTATCTCAAAACAAAGGAAGTACATTAACTCGCACTTTTCTGCAGCGGTGCAGGCTGGTACAGGTCAAAAAAGAATAACCCCACTGACAACGTAAGTGAGATGACTACGTGACTCTTTTAAGCGTCAGTGTGAGCAGAGTTTCGGGCGCTCTTTTTAGGCGCGATTTTAAAATCGGGCGAGAGGTCGCGACAACTAATCAGAGTATTGACTCCAGAAGCCATTGCCTGTTAGCAAACTTTTTCAATTGGTGTAGCCTTTAATAGTAATTGCCAACAATAGCGCGATTGCCGTGCGCCCCATTGAAACAACATTGAAAAATATAATCAGCAGATGGTAATTAAGTGGCCGACTTACAGTGAATTGTATTCCGTCAAATAATGTTCGTCGAGCACGAGAAATATGTGCTGATACGGCAAGCATGCGACTCTCACCCCCTTTTCACAGAAAATAGTTTGAAATAAAATTAAGCACTCTGCATATTGTCCAGGTGTGGGACATACATTCATTTTATTTGGAGTATACCTACAGTTCTTAGTTCGTGATGGTGACTTATTCAACATTAATATTTTGCTTCAACCAACATTTGCGCACAGTGGAAGTTGCTGACGGCATTTTTAATCAAAAGCGATCTTTTATATAACCGTATATGTATACCTAGTCTTAAAGACGTTTGAATTTCGGAGAGCACTGTTGATGGGTATAGTTTGATATCTTATCTCGAATAGAACGATAATTGGTCAAAATATATTCGCTGATACTATTTCTATCTTGTAATTTGTTCCCTGTTTTTCGTGCGCATAAAAAATGTATACCAGCCCACTAGCGAAAATACCTATGTTTGAAGAAGACAACCAAAGAAGAAAACATTAAAAACTGAATCGAGCTTGGTTTCATGTCAAACCATCTTGTGATCGATTCTATTACTGCTGAATACATTACATTACTTTACCAAAAAAAATGCCTCGTTGCATACGAGTAAACGAAAAAAAAAAGACTATAAAAATAATTAGACAACAGTTATTGGCTGTAAGTTCCAATGACGAATACAAGGCGCGTGATGATAAACTAAGCTAATAAGGACAAATAGAGTCTAGACGGCTTTGCCATTAATTAGGCGATTTTATATGTATAGTTTCTTACCCTACTCCGGCATGTATGGAAAAATAGTGCATGTTTTATACTTTTATCACAATTTGAAGGATCATGACCAGGAGTGCCTCGAGAAACCAGTGTTCTGCGACGACTGTGAGGGTGAGATACTACGGAAGGAGAGGTTCAAGCATGCCTTCGAGTGTCCAATGCGTCTTGTATACTGCGAGAGCTGTGAAGGAGTGTACGCCTACTCTTTAGAAAAGGTGAGGAATAAAGTCGTGATTGGTTGTACTGCGGTACTTGGAATTCGGAAAGCATCTTGGACTGGTGTGTTTAGGGTCCTATCCCGCCCTGAGATCAAAAGTGCTCCCGAAGAAGTAACCAATGACGTCACAAAAGTCAAATTGTCTTGTTATTGGATGTCGCGATGCTGGCGTTTAGTGCAACAAGTCATGGCAAAAGTACGGGTGAAGGCGAGTGTCGCTGGCGTCGTAGAGTTTCAACTCCTGGCTGCTGAAGCTTCCTTGCCACTGTCAAGGTGGAAAGCGACCGGCAGTAGAACAGACGTCTGCCCCATTCACAACCGATTCACAACCGCTGTTGTGACACCGCGAGGATCGCGCCCGGCGACAATATGACACTTCTGTGACGTCATCAGGGGGAACTGGAGGGACCACCTCTTAGGACGCGGAAAACACTCCAGTCGGAGACGCGTTCCATGTACCGCATAGTTGTGCGCAGTAGGTTTTCGTACACATTGTCATAGTCACGTGGTTTGTACCGCAAACGGACTAATGAAAAATACAAAAAGGTCTACAAATTAGATGATAATTATCTATAGACCTTTCCATCGCTCATCACAAGGGCGAAAAATGCTGAATCAGTGAGCTGTGGACGCACGCTCAGCGTCCGATGTACCACACACCAGACCAACAGCGCATTCTCAGAAGGCGTTCCACAGCCCAGCAGACAAAGATGGTGTTGTAAGTTTGAACTCTGACTCGGAGCTCGGGGGGGCAAGAAACAGTAAAACCGACAACGAGATGGCGATAAATCTCACGTGGTACGGCACAGCGTAAGAGCGTAAACAGACAGGGCGAAAAAATAAGTACACACAAAGAAGAAAGACGAGCACGAGGAAAGCACGTGGATGCTCGGGTAATCTCGTCTGGCACCTGACGGACTGAGCTTTGCCCGCGGCCTCACGTCATGTTTACACCAGCTCGGGCGAACTTGAGCAAGGCAAGATGCCTGCCGCCGTCATCGACCATCTCGGGGAGTGAAAAGTGGACCGGGAAAGAAGCAGAATCTGAAACGTCGGTCGTAGGAGGAGGAGAAGAAAAATGATCACCGGACGACGGGCTCTCAGGGAAGATCGAAAGAGGAACGCAACGAAAGACGCCATGCAAAGGAACTCTTCTCTGTTTAACGGAGCTTGAGTTGTAGATTTAGACTAATAAACAGTTCGTATTGGGTTAAACCTTGCGGTTGTTATTGACAACAGATGGCAGCGCGCAGAAGTTTATTTTTTTGCAAAGGTCTATACTTGAAATAGATCTTAATGTGTGTTTATATATTTTGATATTATTTATTAACGTACACCTTTGTTTAAACTTTTACCGATTCTAAAGTGAAGGCGATATCAGTGGGGTTTATTAATTGTGTGGTCGCTAATACTAGACACGACAATTTCTACAATGTGTCAAAAAGAAGAGTGAGATCACGGTAGGAAATACAGACAAAAATCTGTCATAACACAACATGGTTGGGTGGTTTCATTTGAGTTCAGGAAGTGGTACTTATTGTAATTTTTGGCTCTCTTTAAATGTTTTTTATGTTGCGGCTTAAGTTATACAAAAGACAACGCTTTACATTTCAAAGCTAAAATATATATTTAGTAAAAAAAAAAATCAGCTGAAGCGTGAAGGATGGTGGAATATTTAATTGTCGTCCCTAACTTGCTACATTCGCGCTTGAGTCTAAAATATTAAGCACAGGAAATTCATACACCTTAAAAAAATATTTTCGTTTCCCCATTTGTTGTTGTAGTAAAGCCGAGCAACCAATCTTTTCTTACAGCCTAGTCAATGATGACGTAATGCAATGACACATTATAGTCTAGAATCAATTTTAGCGAGTGATTGCTCTCAAAAAAAAAAAACTGTTGGCAAAAGAAGCTTTTAATGTAGAAGCGTCATTCGTTGTAATATATTTTATGTTATTAGAATCGAATGATAAAGCTTACTAATAAATTACACACTTCTAAATAAGTAAAACGATATGAAAATAATAACTGCTAGCTCGAAATATTTATAATTTCTATTGTGTATAGCGTTTTCAAATGATACAACTATTTATTTAAGAATGCAATGTTCGTCCGTCTTTATTAATATCATAAAGGTAGCAGCAATGTAGCTCTGCTTGAAAGCAACAAAGAAGTAAATAAAACGAAACTATTTAGTTCAACAACAAGTCGGTGCCTTGACCGCCGTATTTTAAAGTTAAGTTCGTACACAAGAAATTAAGATGAACTGGTAGCGCTAGAAGCTCTTCGTTTTGTTTTAGAGACAAGGTGACATTGATGATTGTAGTTGATGCTTTATATTCTTCTTGATAACCTGATCTATATATTTAATTACAGGAGCACAGGGAGCAGTGTGAAAAAAATAAACTTGCTTGCGAGTACTGCGAATTGGAACTGGAAGGCGATGATGAAGTGAGTATGGGTTCTAAATGTCAAAGCGGACAATTGGCTTGATTCTTAGTGTACGATGTTAAAAGAAAGTGTCTATTCTTCCGGCATTAAAGATAATAATTGTTCCCAAATTCTACCTGCAGTCGCTTCCAGTTGGCAGAGGCCATTTCATAAATCAACGTTTCGATCGTGGACAGATCGTTTAAACGACGAGCACTGTTTCATCAATAGATCGTTTCACCGACAGCTCGGATTAGCGTTTTTTCTGTAATGAGCCGCCCCGGACTGTCGTTGCCAAGCGGCGTTAACGGGTGGGCCGAGTAGGTTATCACGCGCTCCAGTGACGCGCGACCAAATGTCCCTGCAGAGTGGAATTCGAGTAACGTGTGTCATTGAAACGTGTCCATGAGACCTGTGTCCGCAAAACGTTGTCCACGAAACATGTTTCCACGAAATGAAGGGACAATAAGAAACTTGGTAGTCTAACGGCAGTCGTTGCGTAGTTTCTCACAGCCAATGGGAGGTGACAGCCGGGAGAATTTCGCGGATTCTGCCGTCTGTCGGGAGAACAGACATGGCCATGTTTAGGTTGTTTGGGCGGCATAGAGTACTTTATTTTTTTTTTTTTTGCGCAAATCAGAGTTCATTGCTTATCTAGTACTGGCACCAGAAACATTTATCTGTGCAACCTTGAAACTTTATTTTTGGCGTATCAAAGGATTTAGTAGGTGCAGCTTCCATCCGGAAAATGATCTTTTCTCTCCTCCACAATCGTGACATAGGCTGCGGTAATTTACTTTTTCACGGAAGTTAAAGGTTATTATTTTGTTGTGTTAATATTATTATGAATAATAATAGTCATAGTCATAGCCATAGTCATAGCCATAGTCATAGTCATTTGTATTGAAGAACATTCATGAAGCTACACAAGAGTGCGGGGGCAATAAAGCCATTAAAGGCATGTGTGACGCCGCCCAACTAAACGCTATGAAGATAATTGTACTAGAATCTACGACAACAAAAACAGTAACTGCCGTACAAAGAAATCCGTAAAAGCAAGGTTAAAAACAGTTTGAAAAACAAAACAACAACGCAACACGCCAAGCATAGCACGTAGTTGACACATGCTAGGTATAAAAATCATTAGGAAGCATAACCGTTAGAAAAGATATTATCATTTCCTTCAGCTCTCTCAGCCAGTTACCTGCAGAATTTTAGAACGCAAATTTTTAATGACATCTGGTACATAATATTCGCGTGTGGGCCTGCCGTTCTATATTCGGACAAAGTAAATTTTTAAAGTATATTGAAAACGAAGCGAACGAACTGACGAGTTTTTGGATTTTAAATCACTTACAAAAAGTGGCGTAGGACAACGGTTTGATTAAATAGTGCTCAGCGGACGTGGCAATATTAAATCTTTAAACAAGACAGAACCGTCAGAAATTTGCAGGCCATAGAAATCACTTTTCAGTATATATTTTTTTTTAAATACAATCCATCTCGACATGCCAGTAGCCGGAACATTGTCCAAACACCGTAACCTTGTATGTTAATACACGATATGCAAGCGCATGAATGATTAACTTACGTACTGAAAAGGCATAAGTGGTCTGTAATTACAGGCAACAGGCACTCCTCAGTTTTGCACTAAGAGATATCAGTTGGATACTCCAGGTTAAACTACAGTCAAAAACAATGTCAAGGTATTTTAAACTTTCAAGATATCCAAAAGCAAGACATTTGCGAGATACGCATTTTGAGTGATCTAAGATGAGGAAGAAATTTAGTCGCACGTATTTAAGAGGAAAAATATTTTTATCTTATTTGCATAGATGGCGATAAGATTTTGTTGAAACCATTTCATGACCGTAGTCGCAGTGCATTGCATTGATCGGGCAGCATCTTCGTAATTAATATGACGCGTGACAATGACAGTATCGTCTGCATATTAATAGAGTTCTGCTTCAGAAACAAATATATCAATATCATTAACCAACAAATTAAACCGATGTGGAGGTACAATTGCTCTCAGGATTTTTCGTGGACTTCGCGACTCTGCTGCAATAACACGTTGTGAGCGATTTTGTAAGGTAGCTTGAAATAAATAAAGAAACAGACCACAAAACTCAAAACAATATAACTTCTTTAGTAGGAGTGAATGGCTAATGGAATCAAGTGCTTTCGATACATCTAAAAGATAGCGCAGCTAACAAATTGCTCTCGAAAGCGGAAAGTAGCAAATCTGCAAAGTACTCGAGGAATGGGTGTGTTCCCCTCCCCTGAACAAAACCACGCAGTCTGGTTGAAATGACATTAGAAACACCCAGAAATGACGAAATATCATGGAACTTACGTTTTTTAGAGAATTTAAGCAATAATCGGTAACACAGAAAGCGGGCGGCAGTCTTTAATCTGATTTGCTGCTCCACCTTTGAACAAGGGCCTTACAATGGCGGTTTTTAGTTCTTACGGAATATCACAACTCATAATAAAAGCATTAAGCATATAGCCTTGTAATAACAATATCAATAACAATAACAACAATAACAGTAACAATAACAATGAATAATTAGTAATACACGATGTGATGCAGCGTCGAGCTAGATTCGATCGCATCGCCGCCGTTTTGCGTGCCACAGCAACTCCAGTATCACAACTTCGGGAGCGAGACATAAAAGAACGGATAAGATGAAACTCACGCCATGCCGCGAATTCCTCGTGAACGGCCCTATCCAGGAGGTGCTCCAAAGTAAAAAAAAGAAAAAGAAGAAAAAACTAGAAAAGAAAAATATTGTATTGCTCGGCGGAAACACTCAGAGCCTGAATAGCTTGCTCGTTTAGCAATCTATCCACACTTTTCCTATAGCTATTTCTCCTATAGAAGAAGAGGGCGTCGTTGGCGTCTGCTTGTTTATGTGTTGTGACTCCACGGGAGTAACGGGACATCTACTGAGTAAGACGTGAGGCTGGCACTCGAGTAACTTGCACCTAAACAAGACAATGCCAGGCTTGTACTCGCGTTGTTAAATGCCAAGGCATTTAAAAACGGGAGTGGCAGCTCCTCGCGTCTTGCAAATCATTGCAATATTATAAAGGGTTCCCCCCGAAATTGTTTCGTATTCTTCCTACTATAGATATCTACCATATGTTAAAGAGCTGACCTAGTTCTTTGCGCCCGTTTTGGCGGAATGTGCGATACAAAAAACGTACAATATGGACCATTTGGAAATAATAGCGAATATACGAAAAGCTTCGGACAAGAAAAAAAAACGTGTTTTTAGTTAAAAAATCAACTACGCATCGTCAAACGCTTAGTTCCCGTCCAAATGTAGCTTGAGCGGCCGGAACCAGCCGCACAAGTTAAAAAAAGTTTAATATTTTTGGAAATTTACAACGGTAAAATGGTGGCCGAAAACGCCTGTGTATGCATGGAAGTATCCCAGAAAATGGGGGCGCTGCCGAGCACAATGAGCTTAAACAGAAAATTGTAAATATATGGTTGTGCTACTAAAAAAAAATACTTGGACAGGAAGGTATACACGACGTTTCGGGTGGACATCCTTCTTCAATAAGGGCGTCCGCCCGAAACGTCGTGTATACCTTCCTGTCCACGTATTTTTTTTTAGTAGCACAACCATATATTTACAATTTCGCGAATACATGGAGCTGAATGGCGCAAACTATGGAGAATAAGCACCATTTTCCATTGAAAGTTTCAGAAAGTCACTTAGCTTTTGAATAAGGTAATGGTTAGGTACGGACCGCTAGCCCTACATTCTATTTGGCCAGACAGTGGGCGTTCGGCGATTGATTTTTGCAGTGAAAAAATCCCCGGCACTCTGTTTTGTGGCACGCTGTAGATAAGATGTCGCCTGTTAAGCCTGCTCATAGCTAAGCCTCGTTAATTATGATCTCGCAGAAAAACGCGCACCTTGTAACCTGCGAAGATGCTTTGATAGGATGTGCTTTTAAAGAGTTTGGATGCAACGAGAAAGTGAGTATATTGTGTTTCGCAACTTAAACGTATGTTATAGTGCAAATACTTTAGCTGGATTAAGTAAGACATGTATATACATATATAAAATATTTCTTGTCATTCATTTCCAACAAGTATATTTCTTTTTTAGTCATTCATTTTGTCTTTAGTTTATACGTCTGAAGATAAGCTCTTGTACTTTCCCTAAACCCCGTCAAATATCTGAAAATAATTTAGACTAATATACCCTGCTATGGAGAAAACATGCGGCTAGATATGGTGTTTTTCGGTTGTCGGCACACCAAAAATGCTTGTAGTTAACGAAGCATATAGCATAGATCAGTTATCGGATCAAATGGGGCAACCCTTAGCGAAAACTAAGACGTTTGAAATATACCACATTCTAATTTGAGTGTATACGAGTGCAGTTCATAGTTGTAATACACAATAAATGTGCCGAACATATACACTTCGTTTTTTTTTACTTAGTACTAAAACATATTTCTGAAAATCTTTTAAAAATACCTTTATTTTCATTTGGAGTTCCCTGCATGCGTTTTGATATATGTAAATACTAAATTAGTAGGCCCCGAATACCTTTCACATACATTTTTTTAAATATGTATTTATTTCATGCAAAATATACTACAACCCTAATAAAAATGCAGCGATGAAAAATATGTGCAGGATACTCTTAAAATACCTGGAAATCGTAAATACTGTTGTGTTATGCTCCAAGTATCTTTTAAGTGCAATACTTTGGTAGTCTGATTTAAACTACCAAAGTATTAAAAAGCTCGCCTATCAGAAGTTCACTTCAAGCATATTTGGAGTACACTGAAGCGCCTAAACACAACATTTGATTAGTTTGTCAATTGAGTTGTGTGGCATCGTACTCATAAATCAGCGCAGTTTGTTATTGTTTCCTTTTTTCTATCAAGAACAGACCTGATGAGTTTCTTGCGCACCAATCACAAACGGGGTTCGGGAACTACAACCGCAACACTTTCTGATGCTGGAAAGCTTCAGCAAGTGCTGGGAGCAGATATGTTTGGCGTCTAACTGTGTTAGCACAATGTTAGTTCACTGAATGAGTATACTCCATTGTACGTGATGTGAGTAGTGACTTTAATATAGTGACGTTAATGACCATATTAATAAAGCGCCTATCAATAATAAAGGACAAGCATCTTATGGCTTGCAAATAAATTCAACTTGAACTTGAACTTTATTGTTTCTCTCCAGGAGAGAGGGGGAGGGAGAAAAGAAAGCAGACCGTTGTCACTTGACGGAGTTTCTTCTAAACTCACGCAAGTTTTGAACACTCTGTCTAGGGAAACCAAGCGACTTTTTTAAGCTGGGTGTGTATGAAAAAATGGAATGGTAGTTCTCCGGAAAAGTTTTCAATTACAAAGTTTATTTTCGTATTCATTGCGATTTTTATATTGCTAATGCGTAACCCCTAGATATTGCTCATATTACAAGCTATATTCAACAACCGTTTTAAGGCCCCAAGGAAAGAGATGCAGGAGCATGAGAAGCACCCACACAATGCACTTCTTAATCAAGTGATCCTTGTGAGTATACGTCTTTTTTTGTTTTTTTACAGTGAAGCTCTTTACGGTTAGGCTCCCGTGGATCTTTCGTGTGCGTCAACAAAAACTCTTAGGGCTCGTACCGGCCTCTCTTTGTCGTCGTTCCAAACTCTTGCGTGCCTAGTTTCCTTCCCTTCCGCCTGGTGGCGGTCCCGTCGCGCGTGTCTATTTTCCTCCGGCTTCTCGGGGCGGCGATAGTCCTCGACATTTGTGTGCGTACATTTCGTCACAATGACCACCGATCAAGACAACAAATGTGTTCGTACCTTTGTTCAAAATACTGTGCCACGTCTGTGTCGTGTGCTAAACAGCACCTCTGGTCATCAATCTTCACAAAGTCGAATGGCTCATGATTTTTTTTTGTTGTGTTCCTTGTATGGGTGGTTAGTGGTGTATTTAGCGCACTCGCATACGGGGGGCGTTCCGCGAGCCGTTGGCCCAATTGCACCCACGAAAAGTGCGCATGGCACTGAGAGCCTTTTTTCACGTTGGTGTTTGCCAAGAGGTATATAGAGAAAGAATCTAAGAACGTCTGGTATATTTAAATTCTTCATAACATTCCAGTAATAAACTACTTAAATACTAAATTCCACGTAATGGTTTCATTTATAATGTTTTCTTGCATCACCGAAAACCACGAAATCAGCGGGCTTTACTCAGTTTGAACGCATTTCTGGGTTTCGGTTTTCTGTCGGAGTGCATGTTCACGCCTGAGGTTCTGCTACCCGTGACACAAGCGCGCAACTATCGTATCGTTTATCTCTCTTGTAGAGAGAGAAGTGTGGTGCGAGTCGGCGAACTAAAACGCTGTGCTGTTCGAATGACAAGAGAAGAATACGCTTTAATCCTTGGACTCACCTGCACGATTCGAAGTATGCGTTTCGGGACAGGTTATACTTCGTTTCAGCTTCGGTCCGAGCGCGGCCGATGTTATGAGCCGAAAGGCCAATCAAACAGCGAAACAGGCACAACGTCATGCGTGCTCTCTGCAGTTGATAGGACCAGCCGGTATTCGCCGTCTCTCTGTGCGTGCTCCTCCGCCGACTAGTCTCATCAAGTGCAGAGAGCACGCCATGATACTGCGCTTTTTGCGATGTTTGATTGGCCCTTTGGCTCATAACATCGGCCGCGCTCGGACCGAAGCTGAAACGAAGTATAGTCGCGCGCTTTGGCAAGGCGGACCAAGACCACTGTCCAAAAAATATCCTAATGAAAATAATTTAAAAAACGAACATTTAAACGCTTCCAAACTGAGTATTTTTCTGAACGCTGTAAAATACTTTCCATAGCATGTGGTCCTGGAGCGAATATGCGGCGATGAACCGACAAACTTCGCCTGGCGGAGCGTTCGCTTAGCGCGCGACGCGACGGACACTATTTCGAACATATGTGCGAGCGAACACGGCCGGGCGGAATTCGTGTCTTTGTTCGCTCTATAGGGATCAGCCGTTAGTTGTTTCTGATGGTGGCCACAAAGTTTGTAATTCAATAAATACCTTTAAATTTACTCATAAAAGATTTATTACTTCAAGGTACTGACAACTTTACTACACAGAACGTTATTCATTTTCCTGAAAGGCAATTTGGTAGACGCCAATACGACATAAACCTTTCTTTCTGTTCGGTGTGTACTTTTCGCAGCAGTAGCGATTGGTCCCGCTTTTCGAGAATTAGCCTTTGTATAGTATTTCTCCTTCTCTTGGTGACAACTTTCGTCTTTCCCCAGTCTGGGGTTGCCTCAAAATGTTGAGTATACACCAGCTCACCTGAGCCCTTACGTTCTGTTCTGAGAGTATAAGTGCATGACACTGATGATTTACATTTGCCAATTTGTTTGAAGGGGCTGCAAGAAAGAATCGAGAACCTGGAACGGCCGCTCACCGTCCTCGTAGAAAAACTTCGTAATTCGCATTCGGTGGGAACCAGTCAATGATCGCCAACCGAAAGAAACTGCACTGTGCATTGTTGTGTAAGGAAAATTGTCGATAAAAAGGGTGTTGTAAAGTTCTTGAAATATCTAGCGGTGGTTCGATTTTTTTAGAGGCACCACAATTGTTTTTTTTTTCTTGCAGCAAAACTTTTGACAAAATAAAGTTGTGAAGAGTTTTTGGTGCTTCGATCTGTCTTTTGATGCGCTCGTGTGAAAGTAGTAGCTGTGTGCTGACCCCGGTCCAACCCCGGTCCACGCGGGAAGCACATGCCGTTGACTTTTTGGCACCAGCTAGCACGGACCCCGGCCAAAGGTATGAAATACGACGGGAGAGGACGCAAAGAACCACCACGACCACTCCTGCACTGCAGGCTGGACGGCCTGGCTAGTGGTCGGAGCGGACGCTAATTTCGTCGGCACATAAGTTGGCGATGTAATATTAAGTTTGATCAGGTAAATAGAAACTAAATTAATTTTTAAAGCACAAAACGACAGATGCTGTATTCTAGACCGAGCTTGTCCAAACATTCGGGCTAAAAGGACAAGTCAAATAAAGATCCTGTGTTGCATTCTAAAAAAAAAAAAAAAAAAAAAAAAAGTGAAAAGAAAAGAAAACAATTCCTAGATAAGCATTAAATGCGGATATTTAGATTACGGTAAAAATTAAAAATATTCTTGGGTGGATGAATACATCCATTTTATATAAAATGCGATATTTAAGTAATGATAACAATACACAATTCTATTAACCCTTTTCATTAGCGGAATCGAGGAGCCTGCCAACTTTGGCATGTTCGGACGGTGCAAAAAGCAACGAGAACGGTAGAACTGATTACGACAATGTGCTATAGTTTTTACGCGAGACTCTAAGTATGGTATACAAGAGACCGTAAAGGAATTTTAAAGTTTCACAGGTATTAAACAGGGGACTAAAGACTCGATGGTGATGACAATTTGAATAAATATTTTGGTCTAGAGGACCCGCTTCACGTTGCAGTTCCCTCGTTCTTTCTAGTTTATTTTTTTTTGTGTGTGTTTTGTGCTCGTGGGAAAACCGTTTGATTTCGCGCTTTTCTTGTGCGTTTTTTTTTGTTTTTTTTTTTGTTTTTTTTTTGTTTTGGGCGCGAGTTTTTGGTTGGAAGCGGGCCGTGAGCCGGGCGTCACTGCAAGAACCGCAGTGAGTCATGGGTCGGTCAAAATGCCTCTGAAGGCCGGATTTGATCCACGGGCCGGGGTTTGAAGACCCCTGATCTAGAAACAAAAAAAAAAAGCGTACACGTCTGTACGAATTTAGCATTTAATAGTTGCCGATTAGTACTGTACAACAGTGTGTTGCCAAGTTTTATTTTTATGATACAATAAACAAATGAATTATTACTGACTCTTTTATACTGGTGGATACTGTACATTTGATTACGAAAATCTCTTGCGAAGCGTGACGGCAATACAAAGAATGCAACGATGAAAACTCGGAGTGGCCATCAGTGTTATCAGGTAAGCAGTGAAATGTAATAGGAGAATTTTAACTGGAATTCAATGATACATTTTTTGAAGCATTGAAATGAAAAATTAGATACCATTACAAATCTCTGTAACACGAACTTAGACCGCAGCTCTTGAGGAGGAGGAGGGGAGGGTATGCACCTTCTACTCGCCTCCTCCCACTCCCCTCCTTTTCTTCTCCTTTCGTCCTCCTCTTTCCATCCTCACCTCCCCTCCTTTCCTTTTTTCCCCTATTATTCCTCCTCCTTCTTCTACTTACATCATCCTCTTCCTCTTTTCCTCCTCCTCCATACCTTCCCCTACTACTCCGCACCCTCCCTCATCCTCCTTCGTACCTTCTCATCCTCCTCCATATCCTCCTATCTTCCTCCATATCTCCCCTCCACCCACAGTTTCCCCGCTAAATTTAGCTAAAATATTGACACCATGTAACTTCAACATCACTTCAATTCTCTGCTAAATTTAGCGGAGAGGTCACGTGACGTCAATATTCAAGCTACATCCAGCGGAGAAACTGAATTTGTCCGTAGGTGACATGACACCAAATCATGTGACGTCAATTCCCCGCTAAGTTTAGCGGAAAACTGATTTGGTGTTGTGGTCACGTGACGTCAAGTTTCTCGCTAAATTTATCGGCAACTGAATTGCTGTTGAGGTGACGTGACGTTAATTTTCCCGCGAAATCTAGCGGAGAAACGGAATTCGACGATAGGTGACGTGACACCATGACGTGTGATGTCTTTTTTCCGCTAAATTTAGCGGGTAATTGCATTGGTGTTGAGGTCACATGACGTCAATTTTCCCACTATATTTAGCGTGGTTACTCCGACGGCGACGCTGACGCCGCTCAACCCGGAAACGGGCGCCTAAGAGCTGCGCTCTAAAATGCTGGCGAAGCAAAGGTGGTCATATGTGAATTTGTTCAGTTATTGCCGAGGTGCTGTTTCTATAAAACCCGAATAAGAAAAAAAAATGAAAGGGGTTTACAAATTTCAGTAACGCGTAATTAGAGCGCAGCTCTTGAGGAGGAGGAGGGGAGGCTACGGAGGGGAGGGTATGCGCCTCCTCCCCCGTACAATTGAGATTGAGGTCACGTGACGACAGTTTTTTCGCTAAATCTAGCGGAGAAACTGAATTTGTTCATTGTTGACGTGACACGAAATCATGTGACGTCGTTTTCCTTGCTAAATTTAGCGGGGAAACTGAATCGGTGTTGAGGTCATGTGGCGTTAATTTTTCCGCTAAATCTAGCGGAGAAACTGAATTTGCTCATGGGTGACGTGACGCTAAGACATGTGACTTCATTATACCCGCTAAATTTAGCGGGAAATGGACGTCATGTGACCTCAACACCAATTCAATTTCCCGCTAAATTTAGCGGGGCGGCTACGCCAACGCCGACGTCGACGTCGCGAAACCCGGAAACCGGCGCCTAAGTGCTGTGCTCTAAAACCCCTTTGTGAGTAATTTTATTTGAGAAAGTTGTTAACGCCAAGATGACGCTCCTAACGCGCATGATAACGATTGACCAATGATCATTGATTGACAT